CATTTGGTGGTGTAGATAACAACTTGCGATAATTCGTCGCGCCGTTGCACAGCCAGCTTATGCCCGTGTATGCGCGGTCGGAACATGCGTTCAGTTTGACCTGTGTAGCAACCAGGAGAGAGTTTAGGTATGAGATGCCATATATTATCCCAGATTGATCTTTGGGCGTTAGTCGGTCTTTGCTTTTCATAACATGGTAGCTGTGGACCGGTGCGCAATTCCAACACCTGGTCCTGCAACAATGCGTTCAGTCGCTTCTGAGACATCCCTGATATCTACCACATCCTTGATCGATGAACCGGATCCTTCTGTGGCAAAATCATAGTGTCGATACAGGGACTTTGCATATCGTAATCAAGGACATTCTTCACGATACTGATGGGCATCTTGCTGTTGGTAGTATCTTGCTGTTGCACTCAAGATAGACTACTGCGAATTTGATGGCCATCAAAGGTGGACTATCCCCCTCAACGTTTTTATGTGTGTGTTTTAGTCTTATGGGGAGTCGCTTGCGCATGTGCCAGTGTGGGTCTCCTTTGTAGGCTCGTGTAGAAATGAGAACTATTCGCAGACCTGAGCGCTGTTTGACAGTGGGATTCGATAATTAATACGTTCCCTAGGAATAAACTTTCTGCTATCCGTTCTCTATAATAAGGGAATTTTTAATGGTATACTGCATGTCCCGGTCCAATTATTTCATCTTTTTCTTATCCGCAAAGAACACACTACAGGTGCTCTCTGTGAATAGTCCTAGTACGCATCTTCTAGCAGCTCTTTAGTGTTAGACGGATAAATGAGTCGTTTTGCATACAAGTGGACACTTCGTTCACCACGCTTGTTTCTGCGCACAGCCTTATTACTATTATTAACCAGCCACGGAGTGACCACCCTTTTGCTGTTACTTTTCCTCTCCAGTTAGAAGCCACAACGGTGTAAAATTGTTTCGTTACCCTTTTCGAACTGTCTGGCAGATGGGCGTATCAACGTGTCATACCATTCATTATATATGAGACGTGTTATCTCGGGAAACGTCAACCGCCATTTTGAAATGTCTTTGGTTCAAAGAAATTACTTAATTAGGTTTTAAAATTTGCTTATCGCGCAACTTAATCCCAAGATATTTCAGCCACGTTAAGATGCGGACTTTTGAACGAGCTTCTTTCTGATCGCTCACATAACTTCGCTGCGTCAGCAGTGTCTACTTAAGTAGTACGCATTTTTCGCATTTTTTTCTCATTCGTTTTCAAATATACTTTATAGAAGGTATCCCAAAAAATATTCCCTCCTATGCTCGTTTGGTAGCAAAGTACACTTGATTCAAAGTGTATACTTTATGTTTTTCATTATTACTCCAATGAGGTGGTCGAACGGACGCGCAATATGAAATATGTAAATTATGGGGCGTGTAAGTAGGTGAAACTCAGGACATCTAAGGTTGGAGTGAATAATTTCGTCGGCAACAGGCAAACTTAACCCTTAACCCCTCAGCTCTTTGCCTAACCCTCTTCTTTAACTCAAGCTTACCCTAACCGTTACTTATCTCTTAAGCATTTTATTAGGCGCCGGCAGAAACGTAATCCTATTATAGCGTGCCCACCTAAGTCATATAAACAAACGCCTTACCGTAATAAAAGCTAAGGGCTTACATATTAGATCGTCGGCCTGTTTCCATTATATTCAATGTACGATATAAAGAGGCATGTCGGTAGGAGTACGTATTTGGGGCCTCAGAAGGGTACTTATGTATTATAACCACCTGCTTACAAATTTTAAGTAGGTTGACATTTCCACAGCCCCCCTACCGACCTGTCCTCGCACCGTACACACCACCGAAAAAAACCCTAAAACGATTTCGCATCCCTACGATCTTTTAGGTCTGCCCATTAACTTCACAACGCATCCGCACGAGATCCTGGAGCACATTTCATTGCGCTGCCGACAGGTCCTACGAGCCGAAATGGTTTCGGCTACCACGGAGGAATCGGCCGAAACCTGCGTACGTCAGCCTCTACCCGAGGACTGGTTCCTGCGCGACCTACCCCGTCTCGCGCCCGTTTACTGCACCCTGCGCTTTGAGAAGGGAAACCTAGAGGACAGGATTGAAGAGGTGAGCCTTTGGTGCGGACGTGATTTTCTACTGCCCCCTCCCAGCACAACTTTGCTTTGGAATAATTTAAAAAAGAAACAACGGAAATTGCCGTAGAGCCGCGTGCATTTAGGCCCCTTTTGGCCTGAGGCAATTGCGTTCTGGGAGAATGTTCGACAAGCGTATTTTTTGTAATGAAGTCTGGCCAAGCCTGCGAAGTTATCCACAGGGTGCAATCTGGATGAAAACGTTTTCCGGAGAAGGCGACGGGAAGAAAAAGAAATTGATATGCCACAGCAGCCAAACGCAAAAATTGCGTCCGAACACTGTAGCTGGCGTGAACCCGCAGTTCGACAGTTCCACCTTCGATTTCGACGACGTCCATCGGATGCTCCCCAACAGGGTGGTACACGAACGACGACTAGCGTGCGAATTAGTTTTAAGTGATAGTAGATTACACTCTTTTCCTTCACCCGCCTTGGCCCGGTGTCGAGACACAGTCAAGAAGACCGGAGGTGTGATCGAGCGCAGGTGGCTGGCAAGCCCAAAGTTGCCCCTATGCGTGTCACCGCGCGGCCCCCCCCATC